TTTTTACTGCACCGCATCGCACAGGGTGTACAACATGTATTGCACGAGAACAAATATTGCACCACATGAATTGCACCGCGTTGGTTGCAACACATCGGTTGCAACAGCCACACTGTTTGGTGTCCACGCTGGCTCACAGATGTATTACATGGTCTGGAGACCGTATGGACGGAGGGCGATTGCGTGTCAATGACATTGTGCACTGTAAGGTAAAGCGATCGCATATTCATACAATCGTTGGCGCGCGATTCTCTTCATGGTATCCACGGTGCCCTCACCTTTCCAGCCAGAACTCGCGAAAGTGAGCGCAACTCCTTGCACTGCTTTGGGATAGTTCATTGGGATGGGAGGGTGTATGCAATCACTGGTGTGTGCGCGTGGGGATTACTCTGTGCTTCATCATCCTGTCCGTTCCCTCTTTGTCCCACCACCTGATACTCCCCGTCCCTGATCGTGCCGTCGTGGCCCTCCCTCCCCACTCTTCCTCCCCGATTCCTACTCCCCTATGTCCTCCACACCGTCCTCCTCCCCTCCTCCTCTCCTCATTCCTCCTCCTCCTCTTCCTCCTCCACGTCGTCCTCCTCCTCATGCTGTATGCTGGGCTGGAAGCCTGCTGGCGCCTGTGGGTTCGCGGCCTGCGGCGCGCGCTTCCTGTTCTGAGCCGTTTCCCACAAGCTGCCGCTCGCTGGAGCGGCGATCGGCACCTGGGCGGGCAACATTTCGCCCCCCTTACAGAGGGTCCTTGGCTGTGGGTGTCCAAGAAATCCTCCTCCTCATGCTCCTCCGCATCTCCCGTCTTCGTCCCTCTCACCATCGCCGCTCCCGCTCCCGCTCCCCCCCCCTTCCCCCAGGCCCGTCCCGTCCCTTCCGCCCCCCCCCCCTCCCCATCCGAGGCCCCGCCCTCTTCCGCCTTCCACCTCAAGACTCCTCCCCTCGGAGCCTCGTCTCTCGTCCTCTTCCTCGCTCTCGGTGTCCCTGGCCGAGTCCTGCTTCGGCGCCTGCCTGGCCTGGTCCTCGACGCGAACCGGCACACGGCAGCGCAGGAAGGGGAACCCCTTGACCTGGGGCGATTCTCCGAGGGGGTGGTGAAGCACAGGGGAAAGAAGCCGAAGAGGATGATGAGGAGGGATAGGAGCAGGGACGACGATGAGGGAGAAGAGTATCAACAGCACGAGGATGCGAAATGGGAGGGATATGTCGACGACTACAGCGACGACGATGTTCGGTGAGTAAGCGCGGCGCGGCTTCTTAACTCTCCTCAAGGTCACTGCACGGCCCACTGCGACAAAGCAACGCACGACGTCAAAGCAGTGGGAAATGACGATAATGACGATGAGTGTTAGAGAAGCAGGTGGACTGTGCAGAAAAGAAGAGGATTGAGGGACAGGAGCAATAATCGAAAGACGCGATGGCAAGAAGAAGGCGGGAAATGAATCGAATGAGGGTAATGACGGAGAAGAGGAGGAAAGAGGGAGGTGGAGAGAAGGAGAGGGAGGAGGGAGGACGCCAGGGAGGCCGACCACACTACGAGTTCGAACGCATAGGCTGAGCGGAGGGGGAGAGAGAATTCAACTAGCCTTTTAGGGCGTCAAATGTTTTGGTCACTGCTCCGTACCGAGGCCGTGCTGACGGCGTGCTTGGCTAACGGTGCGATTGGGAACCTTGCTCTTGTGACACTGAGCTCACGCAAAACAAAATGTAGGAAATCACGAAACTCCGTTTCCCACATCTCAGATATGCGAATATATCGAACGAAAACGGCACAGCGAGTTGGGAATACACGAACCACGCGATCCTACAATTGGTTTGGCCACGAACCACGCCTTCCTACAATTCGTTTGCCCACTTTGCCGTTAGCTAACACATCGCTAGCGCGTCTATGGCCGCATCCGCCACTGTGCCTCTGGCACGAAGTGGAGTGCCCCAAGGCTCACAACTGTGCGGCTGCTGCAGCCAGGATGGTGCTCACAACCGTGCTGCTGCTACAACCACCATTGTAATTCCAGCAGGGCCCGGACCGCCAACTTCCTGGGCGCTCTTGGCGCTCCCGGGGTGTTCCGCATGACCTCGGTGACGGCTGCAACGCCCCGAACGACCCGCAGACTTTCGCGGAGCTCCCCACCGAGCGCCCAAGACGGTCAAGCAGCGCCTCCAGACGGCCCAAGATGGCCCCCAGACGGCCCAGGAGGCCTCCAAGACGCCCCAAGAGGCCTCTCAGACTCTCAGAGGCTCCAAGAGGCCTCCCAAATGATAGTTGTTCCATCCATTGGTGTCTTGAGGTTTTTGAGGTACTCGCTTTTTCGGCTTCCCGACGCGCCAAGACGACCCAAGAGGCACCCAAGCCCCAAGATCGTCCCAAGACGGCCGAGGAGGCCCACACGACGGCCCCAAGGCAGCTTAAGAAGGCCCAAAGACGCTCCAAAAGGCTTCCGAGACGGCCCACGAGGCCTTCAAAACTGCTCCCACAGGGGACCCAGACAGGGTCCCCCAACGGACATTTCGAGCCCGCGGCCCCAAAAGGCCCCCCAGGAGAGCCCAGGAGGCCCCCAGGAGGTACCCAAGAGGCCACAGGAGGACCCCAAGAGGCCTCTAAGAGGCCTCCGAAGAGGGCCCCAAGAGGCAAACATCCCAACGAGCAATCTAGAGGCCTATGACCCACAATCCAGGCACGGTTGCGGGATGGGCCGAAGGCGCCACTCCCTGTTGGCTTGCCACAAGGGTGCCCGGCGTGCTAAATCCTTTCGATTTTGGTTTTGGTTGTTTTCCAAAAGAACTCCCCCAAAAACTTCAGCCGATCCCGCTGGGGTCCCGGAAACGCCCCGCAACCACCTCAACGACCGCAAAACATTCTCCAAGACGGCTCAACATGGCCTCTAAGATGGTCACGTTGGCCCGAGATGACCTCCAAGATGGCGTCCAAGTCCGCCCAAGATGGTCCAAGATGTCCCCAAGACGGCCCGAGAGAGTCCAAGATGCCTTCAAGTTCGTCCAAGAAGCCTCCAAGACGGCCCAAGATGGCTCCAAGATGGTCCTAAGACTGCCCAAGAAAGCCCTAAGAGCCCTCCAAGAGCTCCACTAGGAAGGCCCGAAAAGGCACAAATCATTGATTTTCCTTTGGTTTTTGAAGGATTTAGCATTTTCGTCTTTTCAGCTCTCCGACGGCCGAAGACGGCCCAAGAGGCCCCCAACATCGCCCCGAGAGCGCACAAGAGGCCTCCAAGATGGCGCCATGACAGCCCAAGAGACCCCCGAGAGGGCCCCAACAAGACGGCCCAAAAGGCCCCCAAGACGCCCAACATGGCATCCAAGACGGACAAGATGGCCTCCAAGATGCCTCCAAGACGGCCAAGAAGGCCTCCAAGACGGCGAAGATGGCCCCAAGATGCACCCAAGACGGCCGCAAATGGCATGAAAATGGCCTTAGACTGCCTAAAAGGCCGGCAAGAGGCCTCCAAGACGGCCCAAGAGCCCTCCAAGACGTCCTCCAGGAAACCCGAAAGCTCGGAAACCACCTGGTCCGTTAGCTCGCTTGACTCCGTGTTCCCCGAAAGCTTTCGAAACCCACTCGGGGAACGCGTGGCCCGATAGCTTGGCCAAGCTCAAACCCAACTTTCGGCCACGCAGGCGCTTCCAAAAAGGCAGGGGGCTGCGGTGACTCGCCGTAGGCGTCTTCGATTAACATACGCCCCCTCCCCCACCCGACCGAGAAACAAGCCCGGGCCAATGCAGACCCTCCACCTCGCCATCCCTTGCAAAACACAATGTGGAATTCGCTCTGCGCCAACATCTGGACCGTGCGAGGACGCCCCGCGATTCCCTTCGCATAGGCTTTCGACCGGGACGGCGGGAAGGCGGGCATTTTGCCTGCTATGTGCAATGCCAACATCAGAGGCGACGATAGGGGCATAGCCCAGGGGGGAGCAATACATGCATCCAGGGGCGCCGATGATGATCTATGTTTTCGGCGAGGCTCCCCAGCGAATACGTGTAATGCCCGCCCCTGGGCTATCAACACCTCCCCGCCATCTCTTGCTTGGCGGCGAGCCCGGGGGGAAGTCAGAAGGGACGGGCCTTCTCAGAAGGCTCGGAAGTCCTCCGGACGTCTGAAAAGTTCCATACGCCTCAGGGAACCTCTCAAAGGGCCGAGGCCTTCTGATAAGGCTCGCCGCCTTCTGAGAAGGCATCCTGCTTCTCACTTCCCCCCCTCGCTCGCCGCCGAACTTGGTTTTGGGGTCATAACATGGGTCTCCGGAGGGCGTTGGGGACGATCCGGGCACCCCTGGAACGACCGCGGCGAGGCGCAGCTGCTGGCAAGCATCCCGAGGCTGGACAACCGCCGAGAACCGAGCATCTCGAACCTCGAGCCCGAAACTTCCCCCCCTCGCTCGCCACCGCACAGTGCAAAATGCACTTCGCTCTAACGCCTGGATCAGGCGCGGAGTCCCTTCGATCACTCTGCAGTGGCTTTTGACGAGGACGGCGGGGGGGCCCCAAGAGGGCCTCCATGAGGGCCCCAGGAGACCCTCCATGGACCTCCAAGGTGGTCCCAAGAGGGCTCTAGATAGCCCAAGATGGCCTGCAACGTTGACCCATGTTAGGGCATCGCCCTGAAACGTCTTCGTTTTGTGTTTTTTTCAGTTTCCTTCGTTTTGTCTTCGCTCCGCCTTTGCTGCAAAACTGAATCAAAACGAAAACAGTCCACGAAAACGCCAAAACACCTGAGCTCGAGCCCTGGGCTCCAGACAGCCCAAGATGGCCTGCAACTTTGATCCATGTCGTCCAAGATGGCTCCAAGAGGCCCCCCCAAGGATCCACGAGAGCTCCAAGAAGGCTCTGGATAGCCCAAGACTGCGTCCGGCATGACATCCCGAGATGGCTCCGGGAGGACACAAGGTCTTGGAGAGCGAAAGGTCAGACAAAGCCTGCAAAGTTCACTCCGGAGGTCGGTTCCGCCATCTTCCCAGTCGCCTACTTCCCTCTCTCATCCTCTTCATATCCCTGTCCTATTCGCCTCTTTGTCGTCGGTTGTCTTCTGCCTGGGCATCTTTTCCGCGGGGGCTGGAGAGGATGCGCGAAGTATTCACACTTTGAGCCGAACTAGCACGGACCCCGCGACGGTCAGGCCGAAAACCCAGAAGAAGGAGTTCCCCGCGCAAGCCGATCTCCCCGCGCCTGCACCCTCAAACGCCAATGCCTCGGGGCGACGCCGCCTCGGGCGCGGCGGTCGCCGCGGCGCCCTGCGGCCGGCTCCTGCTGATGCCGGATGCAACGACGCATCTCAGCACCGAGCGCGGGTGCAGTCACCGAGCGTCGCCGTTGCCAGCGAATGCCGCGGCGGCTCCATCGATGCAAGGCAGAAGCGTCTCCTCGGCCCCCTCCTCGTCGTCGTCATGGGTCGGCAGGAAGCGAGCATGGCACCGTGCAGTTCGGGCCCAGGGTTCTGCGGGATCATCGGCGGCGCGACACTGAATCCCACAAGCCCTTCAGGGCGTTAGGTGGTTTAGCGAGCCTCCTCTGCCGACCTCCTTCTTCCCCTTCGGTGAGGGGTTTATCCCTCCCTCTCCCGATCCAACCGAGTCTGGAAGTTGTGCTCGCGAGGCGTTAGGGCGTCCAAGATGGCTCTAAGAGGGACCTACGTCGCCTCCAAGGTCGCTCAAGATAGCCCGAGATGGCTCAAGATAGCCTTCAACATGCCGCAAGATGCCACAAGACCGCCCCCAGGCGGCTCCACGTGGCCTCGGAGCCTCTCAAGGACGCCCCCGAGAGGCTAATATCCTTCCAAAACCTGCATGTATGTTTGCCTTTTCATTTCCAATGGGCTTCTAAAGCCTCAAGATGGCTCCAATATTGCCCAAGAGAGCACCAAGAAAACCCCCAAACTCGGCCTTCGACGAGCGGATCGCAATCTACTAATTACCTCCATTCCTTTGATCGATAGCCTGCAAGATGGCCGCCAACGCACCCCAAAGTGAGGGCCCGAACAGATCCCCAAGAGGGCCCCGAAAGACACCTGAAGGAGCCCCAAGTATGACGCCAAGATGGCTCCAAGAGGGCCGCACGGTGTTCCAAAGAGGCCTCCAAGATGCTCAGACAGCGAAAAATGTCGTCGTCGTCGTCGTCGTCGTCGTCGTCGTCGTCGTCGTCGTCGTTGTCGTAGTCTGCTGCGTCGCAGAGCCGCCGGCGCACCAGGTGACCCGCGCGGATCAGCAGTGCGGCTTCTGCTTCCTCCTGACTCCTGCTTTTCCTTCCCTGCCTGCTCCTTTTCATCCTCCTCCCTCCTCTCCTCCTCCTCCTCCTCCTCCTCCTCCTCCTCCGTGTCCCCCTCCTCCTTCTACAATTGCACAATATGAACACTACTCTCCCCTCTCCTCTGGTGATGTCCGGGAAATGTCCAGCCCCCCTCCGCATACTGATCTTTACACACAAGATTCCCAGGAATTGGGTTTTCGTTTGTTTCGTTGTTGTTGTTGCTGTTGCTGTTTTTGTTGCTGTTGCTGTTGTTGCTGTTGTTGCTGCTGTTGTTGTTGTTGTTGTTGTTGTTGTTGTTGTTGTTGTTGTTGTTGATTATGCTGCTCTCGCTCAAGCGCTGGCCTCATTTTCGGGCTACCGCTTGTTCCGAATCGTGATCCCTCTGCAGCGCTGGCCTCATTTCCGCGCTTCCGCTCGTTCCGAATCGTGCTCCCGCTGCAGCGCTGGCGTCATTATTTCCAGCGCCATTCCACGGCATGGTTTTCGGTCCTTCCAAATAAGCCCCAAAATCTAGAAAATGCCCCCCCGAAAAATCATCGGAAGTGATTACACATTCGGTGTCGATTCGTTGATCTTTTGGGTCGCAGAAACCCCCACCTTGGGGCGTCGCCACGCCATGCTATGTCAAGCTACGCGTCCTTCGAATCGTGCTCCCGCTGCAGCGCTAGCCTTATTTCTGCGCTTCCGCTCATTCCGAATCGTGCTCCCGCTGCAGCGCCGGCGTCATTATTTTCAGCGCCATGCCACGACATGGTTTTCGGTCCTTCCAGATGGGGCCCAAAATCTAGAAAATGCACCCCGAAACAGCCATTGCAAGTGATTTCACATTCAGTGTCGATTCGTTGATTGTTTGGGCCGCAGAAGCCCCCAATTTGGGGCGTCGCCACGCCTTGCTAAGTCAGGCTACGCGTCGATCTTCAACACCATGCTATGCCATGTAATGCTGTGTCCTGCTTCGGCATCCGACTGTGCGAAAAGAGAAGATATCTTCGCCATGGTAAGGGATGGGAGGGAGGGTTAGGACTTCATATATGACGCGAGAGCGCCTAGCTTGCCCCCTCCCCTTCCGCTGTCTCCTTCTCCCTCGAAGAATCTGCGCAGAGGGATGTGGTTCGCTTCTAGTTTTCATGCTGCTACACATACCTCCCTCATCGACGCAACACGCCTGGTGATCGATTTTGGATGGGCTTGTTGGGATGCCAGAGGCCGCCCGAATATGGTCCAAGTAGATGGGGCCGGCGGTGGAGAACATGGGGCTCCACATCGAGCCGCATCGTCCATGCATCGGCGATGCGGTGCGATGCTCCGACCCCACCTGCTCTGACCACAGCTGGGAGGCCAAGAGATACGCGAAGCGTCATTCATTACAACTCTGCACGGCCACGGGCGCCCAAGCCGCCGTCGTGCTTCTCAGGGTGAGCGCTCCCGGCCGTCCTGGCGTCGTCCTCTTCCTTTCTCCTGGCCTTCTCGACCTTGTTCAGGGCCCGCCACCTCTTGGCGAACTCGTCGGCCTCTGCTACGTCGTCGCACACGATGATGTTATCAAAAATGGTACCACCCTTCTCCTGATACACATCGAACCCCAAGAAACCAAAATTAGGGTACGAATACACCATGTCATCGTCCACATACTTAGGGTTAGCGATCATCCTAAACGTCCAATCCCCCCTGTACGCAGGGTTTGTGATCTTCTTAGCGCTCCATTCGCCCTTGTACGCAGGGTTGTCCTTCATAGGGGCTATCCACTCACCATCATCCTCCTCATCCCAACCGTCTGGCTTCGATGCCGACTCGTCCACGATGCGCTTCTCCTCCACCCAATCGTCTGGCTTGTTGTCCTCGGGATCCTCGATTTCAGATATATCCACCCAATCCTTCGGCTTCCTGTCATCTAGATCCGGGATCCATTTCTTCAAAACGTCCCAATCCTCCTTTATAGACCCCTCGTAAATCGTCGCCTCGTCGATCTCGACGCGGACGGTGTTGTCAGGTTTAAGCACCATGCGGTAGAGGTGGGAGACGCCAAAATCGTTGCCTTGCCTGTAGCTCAGGTCGGACGTCTTTGCAACGGGTGTGCCCTTGTAATTGAAGATGAGTTGCGTCTTCCTGTTGTCCCCCCACTGGTCTGGTCCAAACATGATGTTGTACGGGGTCTCCTTTCCGAAGGTGGTGAGGTCCTCGAGCTTCGGGCCAATCTTGAGATAGCCGCCGCCGATCATCACGTCCTGCTCGTACTTGACCTGGTACTGGATGACGAGGTCCCTGCCCTCGTTGCTGAAGGTCTCGAACGACGTCGCGATGAGGAAGTGGTTGGCGTCCTCGCTCGTCTGGAGGCCCCTGTCCGCGGCCTCGTCCCTGAACCACCTTCCCGCGCCCGCGCCCCACCTGCCGAGCTTGGCGCTCCCCCAGGATCCCACCGCCCAGCGGCTCTCCCAGCCCTCCCCGAACGTCTCGGAGAAGAACACCCGCCCGTCGGCTAGGGCGGCGGCCCCCGCGCACGCCAGCACCCGCTGCATGGCGCACTCTGGGGGGCTGCGGGCAGCAGCGCGGCAGGACGTCCCGAGACATGAAGGCCTTGGGCCCGAGGCTCGAGCCCGGCTGTGGCACGGACAGGTTGCCCGTCGGCGTGCACGTCACTGGTGATCATGCGTGGTGTGGGCTCGGCGTGCCCGCGCTGTGGCGGGTGTCGGACGTCGCTGCTGGTCATGGCTCCGGTGCTGCTCCAGCATGTGCACAGTGTGAATGTTGAGTATTCGTTAGAAGCCGCTCGCAGGTTCGCAAGTCATTCTGCGACCATCAGGAAAATGGGTGATGGTATGCAGTGCCCATCATCCAAAAAGGAACTGGTAAACAGATGAAGCAGGAACGCGTTGGAGGCAGACGGCGTTTCAGCCCAACCCCTGGAACAGAACAGGGGAAGTCAAACGCGCCTGACATATATTGGAATTCTGAAACCCAAGAATGCACACCTTCAGCAAACGATGGGTACATTTGTACATGGAATGCCCACGCCCGTTTCATGGCCCGCCTGTGCACGCCCACTGGCAACGCCAAACAGCCAAAACCAAATCCTTCCCCGGGACGTTGACAATGCCCCCCCTAAGAAGACATGACCAACCGACGAACATGCGGCGTCTTCGGCCTGGGGTTGCTAAGGGTGCCCCTTGTCCAAGATGCCTCCAAACTTTCCGCTCAATTTTGAAACTCCTGGGGCCCTCCTCCGGGCCTCGTCAGGGGTGCTCTGGAGGCCGTGGGGGCCTCCTTGGAAATCCTGGGGACACTTTGGGCCAGGGACACTTCTAGCAACACCCGATTTGGGCTTCAGGTTGTCCCCTGACTAGAGCCCTCCCAGATGGGGTCGGAGTAGATGGGGTCGAAGGATCGCGCCGCATCGCCAATGCATCGGCGATGCGTGGGCGACGATGGACGACGTCGGCGATGCATCGGCGCCATCGCGTGGAGAAATTATGGCTCCACATCGGGCCGCATCAACGATGCAAGGAGGAGGAGGAGGAGGAGGAGGAGGAGGATAGAGGAGGAGGAGGAGGACTCGAGGACTCGAGAGCAGAGGGCACCACGGTCGACTCCGCCGCCGCGGCCCCAGCGCCCGCGCACGCTGCGCGGGCTCTCAAGAGGTCGCGAGCCAGCCCCAGAGACAGGGCGGGCTCCACCTCACTGCCACTCCAGGGCAGCGTAACTCGGCGGGGCAGCAGCCCCGTGAGGTCGCGAGCCAGCCCCAGAGACAGGGCGGGCCTCCACCTCACTGCCTCTCCAGGGCAGAGTAAATCTGCGGGGCTGGCGCCCCGAGCCGTGAAGCCGCCCACGCAGACGCCGCCCAGCAGTCACATGTGGAAACTAACCACCATGCGCCCACGTACACTTCGCGGGTTCTCAAGAGGCCGCGAGCCAGCCCCAGAGACAGGGCAGGCCCCACCTCACTGCCACCCCAGGGCAGGGTATCATCGGGGTCTCTGCCCCGTGAGGTCGCGAGCCAGCCCCAGAAACAGGGCGGGCCTCCACCTCCCTGCCACTCCGGGGCAGAGTAAATCCGTGGGGCCGAGCCCCGAGCCGTGTAGTCATCCACGTTGATGCCTCCCAGCTGCCACACGTGGTAGCTTGTCTCCATTCGGCGGCACCGTGCCGTCAGGCCAGTTCTGGCCCGCCTTTGGAGGTAGTCCTTGACGTAGTCGGCGTAGAACAGTTTGGCCACTCGTGGTGATCTGTTCTCTGCACTTTGTCGCCAATAGAGCCATTCGTCCATGTCCTTCGTCATTGTGTGAAGCTACCGCAGCACAGTTCCAACACCAGTACTGCCCATGAGCAACTGATATCGCATGGCTGGGGTGAATAACCTTGTCGTTGATCTCTATCACCTCTTGGTTTGGTAATTGGACTGCGTGTCCGTGATCAGCTCGGTGGGTCTCATACTGTCGTCCGGTGCATACATTCGCTTTCAGCCATTCCACTACACTGTACTTGCCAGGAGAGCGCCAACATTCCTGGCATACCCATTGCCCTTTTACCTTCCGCATGTTGTGGCCAGAAACTTCCTCTGATTGGCGGCGTTTCTCTCGTCTCTGGCGGATCGACTGGTTGGGCAGGTGCGGAGGTCTGGCCAGTTTGGTCGGGTCCGTGTCCTTGCAGATCTCATGGGTGATGGCCGCGCAGCGTCGCTGTATGCGCACCAGGAGGGTCTCTACCTCGGCTAACTGCTTGACCTCGTCACGTATGTCCTTCATGGCCTCCTCAGCGCCACGTTGAGCTAGGGTATCTGCCATCGCATTTCCCAGACTGACGTGGCAGGCTTGTTTGGACTGCTTGATTGATTCCTGATCGAGGTCAGATAGGCACTTAATGACACATGCATCTTCTGCTCCTCCAGGTCGGTTTTAAATCATGCCCTGGATGCGTTCCCACCACTCACGGAGAGCACCCTGTGGTTTGTCATAGAAACGCTGGGTCCACCCGTTCACCACTTGCTGACAGTCAGTATAGATCGTGATCGGTCCTTCTGTGAGCGCCAGTGCCCAGAACAACGCAGCATGCTCCGAGGCAGGTACGCTTTGCTCTCCATCGACCATGCCGTAGAAGCCGATGTGGGGTATATCGTCGATCTTGCCGTTGCTGATGTCAGGCCCGTAGTTGGTGCTCAGTACATGGGTAAGAAAGTGTGGCGCCGTATCTTCACTCGCGTCATTGCTGCCGTTATTATGCTCAGGGAATTCCTGTCCGAAGGTAGGAGCTTGGTCCCGAAGTAGCTGGCAACACTTCTCTTTGATATCCGAGATGCTGTCGAACCAGTGCTTGACGTAAGCCTCCCTTGCCCATCCATGGAGCGTGAGGTAATAGTCATGCACCCCCGTGCGCCTCTTCTTGGACGTGTGCCAGTTCATGTCGCATAGGTCCTTTACAATGCTGCTGATGCTCCTGGTCTGGTAGCGTGCCCTGAGAAACTGCAGTAGTCGTACTTGCCCAGGTTGGCGTCGGAACTGCTGCATGTATGGCTCGCACCATAGTTTCCAGTTGTCATGGTTTCGACCTTCATTGTTGTCCATAGCCACTGTCCACGTCGCTGCCCAAACGCCTAGGTCATTCATCAAGTCCTTGTGTACCTGCTCCGTGTCTTCGTCCATTGGGGTTTGTTCCACATCGCCTGATTCCAACATAGTACACGAAGAAATAGCCTGGCACCATAGTCGCTCATGTCCCGGTTTATGCTGTGCCTGTTCGTCGCATAGCTGAAGTGTTAGTCCCCATCCAACTCTGTTGATGCGCTTATCGTTGCTGCTTCCAGATCCGTCCACAAATGCAAAGGAGCACCGTACTGGGTTGATGGTGACCACCTCTTTTGCATAAACCGTGGGGCCCTCTGCGGCTGTGGTCCAATAGCTTCCATCCCAGGATCCCCAATCAGATCGTGGTGGTACTGGGTTACTGTGCTGCGGGAGAAGTCCACGAAGCCAGGAGGCCTCGGTGTCAGGGTCGTTCGTTGTGCATTTCTTCCAGTGCTCTTTTGCAGAGAGTCTGAGACTTGACAACTGCCTCAATGCTGAGGTTGTCGTTCATCTCGCACTCGTATAGCCTGTGCTTGATGGTGTCCACTGCTATGGAACATCTTGGACATTTGGCGTCGGTACGGCGCCCAGCTTCTTTGCGCCGTTGTCGAGCCCATATTGCACCACGCGCTAGGGCTTCGAGCGCTCCTGCTTCTTGTGCGCGGTCTGCTTTGCGGATCTTCTGTAGGGTTATCTTGAGCATGGTCGTGCCCATGCGGTGCTGCATGCCTTTGCCGTAGTAATGGTCCGCTGCCTTGCGCCTCCATGCCTTGAACGACGGCACGCATGATGTCTTTGCAGAAATCCAACTCGTCATCGCCCTTGAACTTCCAAATGCTTCCGCGCGAATCTCCCCATTCATCTGGCTGGTTCGGGTTCCACCCAAGCTGTTGTACTGGCAGTATTAGCGCTCCCATGGGTCCTGTGACTGAATTCCACCGCCCACGCGGTCCCATTGACTTGAACCTTTGGATTACATGGTCCCACCCTTGTCGCAATCGGTCGTGCGCTGGAGCTTCGCGTTGCCATGTCTGTATCCATTCTCGTACCTTGCGCTGTAAGCAGGCTGTGGCAGGCTCGTTTTCCCCATAGAAGATCACGTTGATGGTGGAGGTGCGTGTGCCTCCAGTACTGAATCCCACCATATCAGCTGCTTGGGCTCGCGCATTTCGAACTGCACTTGGGCTGGGCCCTGAAACTGGCCAATCATAACTTTGCTTCGCTCTGAGGTTCGAGTTGAAAAGCATGGCTGTCCTGCGGCGCCAGCGTCCTTTCTGCTTGCTGAAAAGCTTTGCCCGTTTTGCTCGTAGGTTGGCCATGCCTTTTCTGCTCCAGCTGCTTCACGATGTGTTTCTTGGTCTCGATGCTGTTCGTCAGTAGTGCCGACTTTCCTGATATCACCAGTTTAGACTCCACGCATTCTCGTACCATAGTAGCGACTGCTACAGAGAACTGCTCCTTGAAGCCATCTGGGTCCCCTTCAACTCTGGTGTGTAAGTCATCGACGGACTCACGTGCAATAGCCAGGGGTGCCGCATTGTGTGTTTTATCCAATATGATGTAGATCATGGCCCTCGCTGCATGGTTATCGGCAGCGCAACCTGGGACTATGCCATTCCATGGGCAGATGGGCTCTGCATGGTCATGGCAGGCTCTGACTATACGCGGCGGGAGGTACATCAGCACACTCATATATAAGTTAACCGCTGGGTAAGTGAGTTGCATTGCCCTCCTGATCAGGATGCTGATGTCCACGCTGTCATAGAATTTCTCAAAGTCTAAGTCGAAGGTGCCGTAGAGCGATCCCTTGAGCTTCGCACTGGTTTCGTCGAGAGCCGTCGACAATAATGCTGCGCGTAATGCTGAAGATCCTTGAATCGCTGCATCACAATGTCGTGCCTTTTCTGCGCACCATTCTTGCATTTCCGATTTTGCCATCTTACCCCAAAATCGCACTGGGAAAGGTAGTAAGCCGATCGGGCGCTCCTCGTCTGCTATATTGGAGCCAGCCTTAACCAATAGATGGTACCAACGATGGTAAAATTGCTGAGGCCAGCACACGTTGCGTTCACATGAGTTAATCACAAACACCAGGCTACGCCTGGCGTCATCTAGTAAAGCTTTGATCTCGGGTGACTGCAATTGATCGGGTCCTCGCGCCGTCGTGGGACGAAATTTGGGGAAGTGCAGCTTCAAGGTCGTTAGTATCATAGAACGCACGCTGAGGAAGTTCGGCTCCAGCTGCTCGTCGAAGCTCTGTGATGGCCTGCTCGAGCTCCTCGCCATTGTTATGCCTCTGCCACCTTGTCTGCCGTACTCCTGCGCGGCACTCCGTAGCTTCCCTTAGCGCTCCCGTTTCTTCTTTGCTGCGTGGGT